GAAGATTGCCTAAGAGTTATAGACAGTATGCCTGATAGAATAGAGGCTGTGATTAAAGCTAATGGTAATTGGACAAAGTATTAGATATAAATAAAGTATAATTTTTTTACAGGTTACAAAACCGGCAACATAGACCTCCCTACTTTGGGCCCTGCGCATTCAGCGGCAAGGCAAGCTACAGCTGCCAAATTTAGAGCATATGTAGTGCGCGAGTAGTAGATACTTATGCTCAATGCACATAGCTATACAGTGTACCCAGCTGCGAATACTGAGAAAAAACCCAAAAATGAGCAAACATGTTGCCAGTTTTGTGAGTCACTGTATTATCGTGAGCAATATGAGGATGAGAGCACTGTTGCTTAAGCCTCGGGCACACTGCGAAGCTAAAATAAGAAAAGGTTGCTCGTATTTTTGTAACTACTGTATTTATTTTTAGTACTCGATCCAGTATCCTTTCGACTTGATAACTGCTTCTACTCTACTTGGCATACTATCAATCACCTTCAAACAATTTTCTTTCGTAATTTTCTTATACCAAGTGTCGGTTATTCGTTCGAACAACTCATTCACCCCTCTTGGTGCTGTATCGTACTCGTTCAGCCGCCTCTTAAGCAATGCCCACATATGCTCGATGGGATTCAGATCTGGAGAGTTAGCTGGCCATTCCAGGACCTTATACTCTTGCTGGCTGAGGTGTTCCTTGACAACTTTCGCCGTGTGCTTAGGGTCGTTGTCATGCTACAGTGGCCCACAAAACCGTACCAATGTTTGCTACTTTTACGTTTATTGACCTGCTGACAACGACAATTACAATATTCATAGGGCTTGTCATACCTCGTTCGAAAGCTAAAGCCGTCGGCTATCGAGTAAAAACTTGACAGTCACAGAGGGCGCATATAGCGGTCGCAGCAAGGTCTCAAAAAAACACGGTCATTGGTACGGTTTTGTGGGCGTAAATGAGTTTTATGGTTTCATCAGTTAGCGTCCCGCACCCCGCTGTATGTGACTGCTACTGTAATCAATTTAGCTAAGGGGGCCTGGTAAAGCTGTTTTCTTTTCTTTTTTCATTCTTGAAGCACGTATTTTGCACCATTAGCTCGTTCTGAAATCAAATATGAAGAAAATCAGCCAAGATCGCATCAACAACATCAAAAAGCACCTACTTGATGGTTTGACAATATCAGAAGCCATGAAGGTGACAAACGAGAGTCGTGGAACTGTTCAGAGGGTAAAAGGAACCATGAATTTGCCACCAAGCAACAATAAAGGGGGTAGACCTAAGGAGAGGGTACTAGTGCTGCTTGTTTATACCACCGTGATAAGACCTGCATTGCTCCATTTGGCCGTAATTCTTCTTTGTTGTATTCATACTTCGTGGATCAACTATTAACCACATATGAAACAATAACTGGCAATTATTCGACTTCAGCTTGTTACTTTGAAACAACTGTG